ACGATTGTTGTCAAATAAAGAACTCAACTTGTAGGTTGGGGTCGATCCCACGAGGAATATGGTTTAGACTTAAACTTAACTCACTATTATATCCGTTTAGTCAAACTATTTTCGAGACAAGTAAATAAAGGGGGGGTTTTGTAAGCAAGTAACAAATTGTTGACTAAGTAACAAGTAAGCAAGATTCAAACTTTGAGTTATCAATATGAGAGAAACTAGGGTATGTGTGTTCCCCACAAGCTCTTAACGCAGTAATCCTAATAATAGTAATCATTTTCTAGTGTTTTACATGGAAAGTTGGTACGTTAGATACCCCTAAGTGATTGGTCCTCCAAATAGAGAATTTAATTACGCACCTTAGTCCGGCTACGAGTGTATACTTTGCTAACCCTTACCTTTACATCAGATTAGACATCACAAAAATGCATGGCTTAGTTTTCACCCTCGCTTCAATTGACATTAGACTATTAGATATCATCCACTAAATCTCTGTTGTTAATTCTTTTTTTATTAACTACCTCCTTGGTCCGACAAGTAGCAACAAGGCGAGTTCTAACGTTGCACACCATTAAAAAGACTTCTAAGCGAAAGAATTAACAATACATGCATAAACACTATTCAAAAATTACTTAATTATTATTCATACTTTGTTAATTGTCATGGTTCCCACAACCCTAGTTGTGGATTTAGCTACTTATGCTTGAAAGAACACAATTCATAATTGGGTAAAAACAATTTATGAAATTACAAGTAGAATAGATGAATACCCAAAATCTTGAATTGAAATTCAAAGAACAAATTGTATCAAACGAATTTCGGAAATTAAATTGCTAAAGTGTGCAAGTTAATTCCCAAAACACAAAAACCAAGAGTTTACAATAATGTCTAACCCCTAAATACGAGGTTTATAACTCCTATTTATAGAAAACAAGTCGTAAATAAAAAGGAAACAAAATAAAAAGATAAGTTATCTGGAGCACGACTTCAGTTGACGACTCGACCTACGGTTCGTAGGTCCCTTTTCGTGGCTCCACACTTAGGATTTTTCATCAGGTACTGGAACTTCAACTCTCTGAATCCATCGACGGATGTGCAGGACGGCCCGTGGGTCGACCTACAGTCTGTCAGTTGCTTCGTAGTTCCACACTTAGTCATAATTCCCTGATGCTCCATCTACACCTGCCCAACGACGGTCTGTCAAAGGACCTACGGTCCGTGGATCATTCCGTGGGTGTCTCCTTCTGCATAATTTTAGCTCTCATCTCCATCAATTGCATTCCAAGCTTACTTCCTGCAATTATTAGACATA